GATTTGGTTTCATCAGCAATGCAAATCCACCGACCCAGCTGGGGATCGAACTTGGAACCTCACAGGCAGAACGCAAGCATGCTACCCACTCTGCCACCGGGCAGCTGATCAGACTATTTTTCATTTTCCATTCACGCGTTTAGCATAACCCATCTTTTTCGAACTTGTTGCGGGCCACAGATGTCGCTCATCTCAGCCTCCGGGTTATGACCCTGTTGGAAACATTCACAACCTGACTACTTGTTTCAAGTGAGTAATGATGGATTTGGTTTAATTTCAAAGGTGAATGTTAGGCAACATGAATAATTAAGTTTCTGCCAACAACAATCATGTCTTGTTGAATTTAGCTGTGTTGAGTTGATTGTAACCTCATTGAGTTCAACTTTTACACGTGAATATTGGAATGCAATCCATTAATCATCTTGGTGGTTAATCCTCGTGGATTTTCTCAATTCTTGTGATCATGTTACAGCTATGCATTCCGGGCTTGAATGACTTATTCATTGTACGCCCTTTAAGGAACGTAGGTACAGCGATAAACTGAAGTAGACCGACCCCTAAGATCTCCGTATGACCCCCGGAACAGTTAAGCTTCGGCGACGACAGCAAGGTCCTCCTTATATATGGCTTTTCTCGGTTGATGTCCGAGCAAATACGAAAATTGGTTTTTCAGGCGAAGCGGCATTCCCGTACATTTCGATGCTTGAATTCGATAGTATTCTCCATTGACCGTTGATGAGCTGCCAACTGCTTCATTAAAATGGTCACCAATGAAACACCGGTTTCCGTTGATACGACTAGATAGTGAATCGAAAACCCCAACTGCCATGGTATGCCGTCCAAGAAACTCCTCGATCCAACCTAATAGGAGTAACCAGGTTGCACAATTGTAGAATTTCCACAGCAGTATGTCATGATTTACACGATCGCATCCTTTGAAAACGTCCTGGTGCATAATGTTCAAAACAATTGGTAACGATTACGGAGAGGAATACTGCTCGGCGTGCGGCCATGACAGCGGTCTTATGATTACCTAGCCGTGTAGCTATCGGTCTATATATTTAAATCTGAACGACCGAGTGAACCCGGCAGGGATCGCACACGAAAGAAGAAACGTACAGTACCACTACAGCTGAAGCTGATTGAACTAAGGCAACAGTGAATTGCTCGTCGTCCTGTTGTGCGTATGGGAGTGGAATGTATGTAATCGAACATTTCTGTGATTTGAGTTTTAATTTGATCAACACGTTTTCCCACTAACTGGCTCTCTATTACAAAATAAACTCTCGACATCTACCAAATGCATTGTGTTGATAGTACACTCCTAAGTTTCTTCAGATGTCTTCAACCATTCCCTCGTCAAGGGCACTGAATGATGCGTTTCACTACTTTCGGTGAACTTCTGACTGACACACCCAATGTAATTGGCTCCGCGGTAGTAGGTGAACTGATCAATGCTAGTCAGAAAATTATATAAAAACTGGGTAACCTAGTTGCTAAAAAGTCAATGGCTTGGTTGCCTTTGGACACACTGCTCCCACCTCAGTAAAAGAACCAGCGAATAAATAATCGAAAGGAATTCTTCGCTGCAGTCGATTTCTCAATGAGCCATGGAAATAATATCTTTCTGTGAAATATCCATATGATATCGTAGAAACACTGCAAATATTTCATACACGTGCCTCATGAGCACTACTCATCTTCCTGGGTAATCCGAAAGCAGTATATCCAGGACTTTTCAGTTGCACGTCTTTTATCCCCATCTGACAAATAGCCTAGTATTCCTGTGAACTCTAGTTAATTCGAGTTGCATACCTCAATATGAATCAGCTAGCTTTCTAGACGTGTGTGTGTGTGTGTGTGAGAGAGACAGAGTGATAAGTAGACCTTTCATCACGAATTCTCCATTATACACACGGTGTTGTTGAGTTTCTCAAAACCTGATTGCTGCTCCACCACTGGGCAAGTTATTTTTCAAGCTTAACGTAGCGCTCCAGTCAGTACTAAATTTATCTGTTCTGTCTTTATACTTGTCCCCTAGTGCCCCGATCTTCATGAAAAGCGGTCATTTTATAAAATCATTGTGGTGGGTGACAGTACAAAGTTCATGCTCTTGTTAATATTAAAGTGCATCAGTCAGAAACGGTTGCTGTCTGTCAGGTCAGGTTATCGTTGTGTGTGTGACGCTACGTCATATGAGCGTACGAAACGCAGGAGGTCTGAATAGCGATGTCTGACAGCACTTTCAATACTGAATATTGAGAATGATATGATCATCTTTCGTTTCTTAGTTCGCGTATTTGGTACAAATACCTCGCTGTTTTTGATTATTTGACCATGGATGTGCAGTCGGAGTCGGCTGATCTGTTCTGTTCACGTGAAACTGTCACTTTGTGTATCAGCGACCGATTTCTGTTGTTTTCTATGCAAACACAATATCGCTTGAGATGTGATTCCTCCAGGTTTGATCACTGTGGAGCAATGCACATTGTGTTCAGCTGCAGTTTTTCTGTTCTCCCCGTCTAATTTGTCAGTCCTTCATCGAATCGGATTTCATTGTGAGAGGAATAGTTAGTGTATTACTACAAAACTCAGCAGCTTGTGCTCTGCTGAAGCTCGAATGTGCAGATTTTAATTAACGGTGAATCGTGTTTTGCTCATAGTTTTGTGTTGCTGAGAGAGAAAGGATACGGATTATCTTGGATTTGGCTTGTTTAAAAACAAATGCGTTGTGTTTGGCCTCCTTGTGAGTTGGTGACCACTATTCTTTTTCCACTGATATCAAGTAATTATTCTAGTTTTACTCTTGTTTGATTTACATGAAACGTAGATTCAGAAGTGCACTTGGTTTTCCCTCAGTTCCTCAATTTTTATACTTACGTCATTCCTGTATCCCTTTTCCATGCTTAGGTACTAATGATTGAACAAAAAATCATTGCTTTGTGTGGGTTGCATCCGTGAACTGTTTCACCAAAATTACAAATAACTGGAAAGGTTTCTGCATACTCATTTGCCCTGATTTTTGTTATTTTGAGTTGTGATAATTTCGATAATCCTTCATCATCTAATTTACTGTGTACAACCGCCCATTAATCACCATTTGACCATATCAGTTCGTTCGTTCTTGTCTATTCGATTTAACTATATAGATTATGAGCCTTTTCTGTAAAGTTCAAGTAAAGTAGTATTTCATATCAAGTAAAGTGCAGTTGATGTGCTTCTATATCAGACTTATTGTGCAATAAACAGAAACAGAATCAAAATGACGAGTTTCTTCATAAAAAACAAGTTTTTTCGACTGTTCGCACAGAACCATTGTCAATAAAATTTTCAGGTGGGCAATGTATCGACTTATGCATCCTGTTTCTGAAATACGAAATTCTCGGTCATGTTTTTTTTAGTGTGGTTATAATTTTTTTCTAACTGGTTCTCGTAAACGTACCCTTTTCTAATTCAACAGTACACTATAGATGTGTTGCCCACGATAATGTTACGTTTGGCTTTGTTCTCATCAGCTAAAATTACTTAGCAGAAAGTGCATCTCTATGAGTCGCATTTAACCAGCCCACGTCATTGATGCTTGTTTCGTGTTTAAATCATAGATTTCGAGTTGTCTGTTAGTTACGTTTATCACCTTTTTCTCTTCCGTTTAGCTCTTTGTAATTTATAACAAAATAATGCGTAGTGGTCAGTACTGTTATTGCTACCATGGATCGCAGTTTTCCATTGGCAATTTCAGACTATTAAAACCTCGTATATACGTGCGTGCGTGCGCGAGCGAGCTGAATCTCATCCAGTTTGACGATAGTGATTCATAGCAATAGTGGCATACTCGATAGTCCAGATTACATTTATTGACTGTCGTGACCCTGTAAGTATGTCTATGGTATGCTCCAATCGTTAGTCAGAAATTTGTCTATTCAATGCTCGTCTGTTGTGTCTCGCTCCCCGTTGCGTTTCACCTAGGTAAACACCCATGCGTGTACACATGTCTACTGTGCATCACATTACACTGTGACTGGTACATTCTCATTCATTTAGCTCCTTATAAATCTGCGTGGGTATCGGTTTGATGTTTTAAACATCACTTGTAGGAATTCCTTTCTGTTACCATTGATGCATATATCTGTTCTGTGATTAAGATTGCCATTTCTTCGTTGTGCAATATGGCAACAGTGCTACTTGAGTTGCAGTGTTAATAATCCAAATCGATGATCTGGTCCACCTCAGGTTGTTATTGCCCTGTTCTGGCTCGCTAAAGCGGTCGAACAACATCCGGATTGCAAAACCGTGCCACGTTTGGATTATAGCGCGTTTGTCGGCCTTTTGCCCAAACCAGTCATCTATCACACTCCAGTCGGTGTAACCGGTGACAGCGAGATTATTCGATCGAAGAACTCCAACTCATTGGAACGCAAATCCTCTTACGTGGGTGAACAGGCACTCACCCCGCATTACTTCGTCCGACCACAGGCGTCCAACACTATGGGCAATGCACATACACAATCCGTTACCTCCATCAAGAAGGGTGTACCCCTGACAGAGAGAGCCCAAACACTTCCCGCTCAGACGAACAATAGCGCACTGGATGAGGATGAATGGCAGGCGGTGAGTCATACGATCAGTTTGTACTGTCATCTACTGGTGCCGAACACATAAACCTGTCATAAATCTTTCATCAACGTGGAGTTTCACCGAGCGCTCATTATCCTTTTTTGTGTTAGGATGAACGGTCATCGGTTCTGGGGGTGGATTGCAGGGCCCTTTCCTTGTGGAAGCTGGCTGTTTATGATAACTACTTTTCAAATCATTTTCTTCGTGTAACCATTGGGTTTAACTTGTCCAACATTTTGATCCATTTGGTGACTGCATCCACAACACCAAGGGGTACCATGCCGTTCTTTTTAAAAGTAAATTTTCGCTCATTCATTAGGAAACAGAAAATATAAATTGCTATTTCTACAATTTTTGACATGTCTGTGAAGTATTTCATGATTTTCTCAGGGGCAGCAAAATGGTTTTCAGTTTGTGCGGTTTTAAGTGCATGGTAAAAGTTTATATATGGGTAATGAATCCAACTTTAATCTTCCTGTGTAGCTTATCCATTATTTTGGAGATCTAGAAATTACCATCATTAAAATTCGGCATTTCGCCTCATTTATGGAGCTTGGATCCTGCGAATCCTAACAGACAAACTCATGCATTATGTAAAATTAATGGTGAGAAATTTCAGTCATCTATAGTATTGTCCCGGAATTTATAACTACACCTCTTCTACCCCCTGTCCGCTTAGGTTGGTTTTTCGACTGAGCCCCAGTTCACTTCATTACATACAACCATTACCACTGCACTTTCGTGCGGCTGCTTTGTTTGTCTTTTCGTTGCACATGTATATGGAGTAGAGGGAAGAACTAAAAAGATAGAAGCAGTAACGGTTTACCGAAATACAGTATGCAGTTAAACTAAACTTTTGAAGAAATCAAGGGGTACAAGCACCAATGTTTGCAACACTCGACCGAACCACTTGATGTCTCTCATCAGCGACTGGACTGATCCTGACGCGACAGACGTGTTCCAGAGCCCTAGTCAGGATCGTGACACACCCACTCCAGGTCTTTTTTGATCACCGNNNCTCGGCGAACATCGAGTCCCGAAGAAGTCCACTTGCGTACATGAGTTACACATACCGCAGGCACTGTGGAGGTCAAGCACTTGATTAAGTGGCCAACCGTAATCACCTAAATCTCTTAACCTCTCCTCCGCATATTTCGTCTGGTTGTCCCTCTAGACTCGTTCTGTACAACGTAAATAGCGGTGTTCAAACAGGAATAGTCTGTATTTTCCCCGTATCTGGCCAGGCCTCCGCACTGTGCACTGCAGTATGCACTGTATCCTGTAAGAACAACCGGATATGGCGCCATCTTCCAAGGTATGCCTAGTAGGCCATTGCCTAACCTTCGTACGTGCCAAGGCCTTCTCCACACACACAA